TACACTACAGCGTTCTCTTGCGGGATCAGGTTGAGGTTGCCCTCCATACATCTTTGCTGAAACCACACACCTGCATGGTTTCTTTTCCTTCAGTGTCCCCAGTAACACTGCCCTGATAAATCATTTGTAAGCAAAGCCTCATCTCAGGGAGTGCTTTTGGGGAACCCAAGCAATGACAATTGGTACCAGCTGTGGTTCTAAGAAGCTGGTTTTTGTGGTGGGGTCCGGGGGTTGGTTTACTCATGGGCCAGAAGAAATAAGAACCTCGTTCCTGGTGGTAAGTGGAGCATAGACAGCCCTTGCATGTTGTAGCATTGAGTTACATCTTTCATGCAGTGGAAGGTGCTGTGTGGATTGTGACATAGCTTTGACATTTGAAATATATGGAGCAAATGGTAACCAGAGGACAGAGGAATTGGTTCCTTGTAGCTGAATGCTACTGATGCTTTAAAGAGAAACAAATGAAAAATTCAGGTCATCCATTTCTTATCTTAAGACATATGAAATTGAAGGCCTCCACTGTAGAGTTTAAAGAGCCTCTTATCTCTTGCAGAGGGGAGATAATACTAAACAGGAGGCTTGGGACCTAATAGTAACTTTCACAGAAGCTAAATTAGCAGCATTTGTATGTCCCTTGTGTCAAGGGCAGGGTTCTGATGGGAAGGAGTGGAACCTCAAGGCTTGGGATTGAAATGTTCATGAATGTGCTTGATGACACTGAACTCTAGAGTCCTCGGCATTTTCTCAGCCTGTGGAAGTGAGCTGGAAGATATTAGCTCATTTCCACTGGCTGAAGACTGTGAAGAAGATAATATTTGTCCAACTGCAGATCTGTCTCCCACATACCGTCCTGGCCATTGGTTCAAGTCTCAGAAGAGCCAAATGGGTTAGTGCTGGCCCTGCTAAGGGCAGGAAGAGTTATCCACTGAAGGATCCGCAGGTAATATGGACTAGCACATGAGAGAGCTCAGCTGGGAGAGGATCTTAAGGATGTGGGACCATGAGGAGTGGCATATGAGACCGATTAGGGGAATTTTATTGATATGGGGGCAATCTGTATTGTCAGTTCTGCAGAATCAGCCTTAATATGCTGCTGAGTTGCCTTTTGGAACTTGGAAAAAGTTATGGTCCACCTTAAATGTGGTGGAGATGTCAGAACCACCTTAGCAGAGTGTTAATAAAAGGATAAAGTTTGAGAGGAGGGTTTATTTGACTGAATCTATTATATAACCATGACGCCTGCCAACTGCATCTGTTCTTCAGAGAGCCCAGAAGACGCTCCTTTCCCTGAAGTTACCAGGAGTGTGCTGGTGAAGGGACATCAGCATCACTGAGCAGACCAGCAGAGGCTGCCCCCTGCAGCCTGAGCTGGGGTAGGGCACGTGTACTGACCTGGGCTCCCTGATGCCAATGAGGGTGAGAAGATCCAGGGATAGCAGAGGATAAATAGACAGCATGAGTTAACCCTCAGAGGCAAGGTGGTTCAACATTTACAAGTCAATCTGTGTAATCCAGCATTAGCCAAAGAAAAAAATATTATGTTTATATTAACTAATATAGCAAAAGCATTTGACAAAGTCCAACACCCATTCATTATAAAAATACTCAGCAGACCAGGGATAGACGAGAACATTCTCATCTGGGTTAAGAATATGTACAAAAGAACTTACAGCCAAGAGTACATGTAATAGTGAGAAACTGGAAACACTCCCCCCACCTCCCATCCTGTCAACTCAGGAACAAGGCAGGCATGTGCCCTCTCAGTACTGTTATTCAACATCTCGACAGAAACCAGAATAAAAAGGAAATACATAATTTGTCCTCAATGAGAGGGAGCTAACTCCCCACCTGCTAATTGTGGGTTTTTCCCAGTGCCTTCGTTCCAAAGAATAGTGTAGTGTGGCAGCATGTTGCAGGCAGGATGAGGAGAGTAACTTCACAGTGGAGAAACTGGGCAGCCAGGTGATCAAGGCGATAAATCTCATCAGTAGTATCTCTGCTCTTTTTTAAAAAAAATTAATTAATTTATTTTTGTCACAGATGTTTCTCCTTTATGCCCCACTGATTCCCCTCTACCCCTCCCTCCCCACCCTGTCCCCAGCTTTGTTGTCCATGTCCATTGTTCATGCACACATGCATATAAGTTCTGTGGTTTTTCTCTCCCCCACTACTCCCTCTTCTGGGGATTGTCAGTCTGTACCCCACTTCCATGTCTCTGGGACTACCCCATTACTCAGACTGTTATACTGATACATCACCTAAGGCAACAGAAACAAAGGAGAAAATGAACACATGGGACTACATCAAACTCAAAAGCTTCTGCGCAGCAAAAGAAACAACCATCAAAATGGGTTCTGATGGGAAGGCAACTAACTCACTGTATGGGAGAGCATAATTGCCAATGATACATCAGATAAGGGGTTAATTTCCAATATACATAGAGTGTTCATACAACGCAACAAAAGGAAGACAAAGAACCCAATTAAAAAATGGGCAGAGGACCTAAATCGACACCCTCCAAACAGGACATACAAATGGCCAAGAGACATATGAAGAAATGCTCAACATCACTAATCATCAGAGAGATGCAAATTAAAACAACAATGAGGTATCACCTCACACCTGTCAGGATGGCCGCCATCCACAAATCATCAAACAACAAGTGTTGGTGCGGGTGTGGAGAAAAGGGGACTCTAGTACACTGCTGGTGGGAATGCAGACTGGTGCAGCCACTATGGAAAACACTATGGTGTTACCTCGAAAAATTAAAAATTGAACTCTCTGCTCTTTATATAATGTTTTGAAATGGTACTTGACCTCTGTAGTCTTCCTCCTAAAACCCCGTAACTCGACTCTAATCACAAGAAAAACAACAGGAAAACCAAATTGAGAAGTAGTCTAAAAAATACTGACCAGGACCCCTTAGAACTGTCAAGGTCATCAAAAAAAAAAGGGAAAATATGAGAAATTGTCAGAGTTCAGAGGAGCCTAGGGAGACAAGACAACTAAATGTAGTGTGATAGTTGGGATCCTGGAACAGAAAGAGGCATGGGGTGGAGAGTAACTAAGGAAATCAGAATAAGCCATGTGTTTTTCTTAACAATAAGGTATCAATATCAATATTGTTTTGTTAATTGATATAATATACAAGATGTTAAGAATAACATCTTATATTAGTTAATATATTAGAAAACTAATATAAGATGTTAAGAATAAGGAAAACAAGATGTGGAGTGTATGGGAAATCTCTGTACTATCTTCTTGACTTTTCTGTAAATCCAAAACTGTTATAAAATATAAGGCCTATTAAAAATCAACATCTAAGCCCTGGCCGGTTTGGCTCAGCATTTAGAGCATCGGGCTGCAGTCTAGAGAGACCCGGTTGGTTCCCTCTAAGGGCACGTACCTCAGTTGCGGTTTGTCCCCGGCCCTGATTGGGTCATGCGGGAGGCAACCACTAGATGTGTCCCTTTCATGTCGATGTTTCTCTCTTCCTCTCTCTCCCTCCCAATCTGTCTGAACAAAAAATGAAAAAATGTCCTCGGGTGAAGATAAAAAAAAAAATCAACATCTAAGACTTCAGAATAATTTTTCTCCTTCTGCTGCCAAGCTCTTACATCCAGCACCCACTCTACCCACATCCCCTTCCGTCCTGTCGGAGGACTTAGCCTGCGTTCTCATCCCCTAAGTAATGAGAGGCACTGACAAGTGTTAACCAGAGGACCAATGTGGTTAGGTCAGACTTAAGTAGAACACCCTGTCCTCTACGTGAGGGGTGGATTGTGGGGTGGATTGACAGGGGTAAAGAAAACCAGCCTGAAGGCCATTGCAATAGTTCTGGTAAGAAATGATCTCAGTCCAAGCGTGGGAGGTGTGTGTAGAAATAGCAAGGACCTGATGGTTGGCGGGGGGTTGGGAAGAAGAGAAGAGGAGTGAGGAATGAGGGCAGTGTCTCTGGTTTAGGTGAAAGCACAGATGGTAGTATCATTCCCAACAGAGAGAACCTAGGGAGGGAAGATAGTCAGGGCTGCTGGAGTTGGGTGGGGAGGAGGGGATGCTGAGTGCTATTCGCACCTATTTACTTTGGGTGCCTATGGTCTCGGTAAGGCTTTTCCTGACATATCCTCATACCTAAGGGCAACTGGAGACAAACTGCCTGAGATGATGGGGTTAAATAGTTAAAGCTGGTGATCCCCAGGAAAGAGATAGCGCCAAGTCCTGCGTGATTGAGGGTAGTAAGACTACGGAGAGTAATGGCTACAATGACCTTCATTTTATTCTCCCTCCTGCCAATTCAGCCTTTTGGCTCCCATGATTCCAGCTGGCCCAACCCTTCCTTGTTACTGACATTGTCACGCTCCCATCAGGGACCCTTCCCAGGAGCCTCTCCTCTCCCCACCTTGTTTAATTATGCTTTTAATGCTTTTCTAAATCTTCATTAGCCAAATAGGCAGTCCATAAGACTCTTGGAAAACATAAGGACATTCTACAGAGAGAAACCCAGGAAGGAGCCAGAGCCAGAGGGGACCCCCACTCCCTGCCCATCCCCTTGAGCATGGGCTGAGATTGGGCACTGTGTGTAAGGCAGTGCTGGGCTGAGACAGAGAGATCCTCTTCCCCCCAACCTGAATAACTCATCCCCCCTTCATACCTACCGAGTGTTGCTTTCAGGTGCTTGATGAACTTGTTTTCGTTTGGGTTTGGGTTTGGGTTTATTTTTAGAAGCTATTGAAAGTATTGGGGATTTGGGGGAGCAGACTTAAAGGAAGGTCAAGGTGTCTGTCCTCCTTTCGGAGTTGGCCAAGAGCGTCAGTTGCAACCACTGACCCGCATGGGTTTTTATATGATGAGAGACAGAGAGACAAAACACAAAGAGAGTACAAGGTCCCGAACGTCCAGGATTTATTACGGATCATTGAACACACTCACAGTTTCAGCTACACGACTGGGAATAAAGTCAGAGTCACTGTAGCAACTGTCCTCAGGCAGAAGCTCTGGCCACCTGAGGTAGGGATTGGGGGGGATTGGAATGATCAGGAGTAGGTGCTGGGCAATAGCTCCCCGCTTCCCCACCCCACTCTGTCACAGAGACAGGTGGAAGGACGGGGTCAGGCAGGTTCACAGATGAGGTGGGCCGTCCAGACTGGGGGCCTGAGGTAAGTGAGGCCACCGGTTCAGCTCTCTCTTCATGTGTGTGGGATGGTCTGAGGGCCTCTGGGACACTGAAGATGGTTATTTATGTTGGGGGGCCACTGCACCTCCTGCTTCTACTATTGCTTCTCTGCAGGGGGCAAGACTTCTCCCTTCAGCGGCTGGACTGGGTGGGTCTCCTGAACCTGGCCAGGAGCTACAACAAACGCAGGTTGCTCTAGCTGTTCCTCCTGCTGCCCCAGGGGCTCTAGCAGCTGCTCGTCTTTCTTTTCCAGCTTCTCAACTATCTTCCCTAGCTCTTGATCCAGTTGCTGGTCCAGGAGCTTCTTCTCCTGTTCCAGCTGTTCTTTTAGCTTCTGCTCCTTTTGCGCTTTATCTTCCTGCAGCTGCAGCTCCAAGTTTTCTGCTTTCTGGCCCCCATGTTGTTCCTGCTGCTGCTGCTTCGGGTGCTGTTCCGGGTGCAGTTCCTGCTCCTTTGACTCTTGCTGCTGCTGTTCCAGATGTTGTTCCTGATGCTGCAGTTCCTGCTCCTGTGAGTCTTGCTGCTGTTGCTGCTGTTCCAGCTGTTCCAGATGCTGCTCCTGCTGCTGTAGTTTCTGGGACTGTGGCTCGCAGTCTTGCTCGGGCGACCCCTTCACAGGAGTTGTGTGTTGCTCCCCGTGTTCCAAAGGGACCTCCTTTGGTTGCGCAGAGGGCACCTCCTGGCATGGGACAGGCAGTGGAGTTGGCTGCTTCACTTGCTCCTGCTGGGTATCAGTGGGAGGAGAAACAGGCTTGAGGGGCTCCTGACTGAGGGCTGGGGGCAGGGTCACTGGCAGAATGTTTTGCTGGGACATCTTGGAAGCTGCTTTAGGTCAACCTGAAAAACAGAAGGGTCAAAGGGGTGGCTGAAGAGAGGAAGTAGATAAATTGCCCAGAAACCAGTGCCTGGCTTCTCAGCAACGCTTCTGTTTCCTGGGCCAGGCACCCCCCCTCCCCCCAGCTGTCATTCCCCAGAAGCAGCAGAGAGTGCAGGGTAATGATGGGGAGAGGCCCTCCTGGGAGCCGCCTCCTTTCCTGCAAGAGGTCTGTCTCCAGAGCTGCTCTGCAAGGGTGGGCGCCACTGTGCCTCCTGCCCCAGACATCCTGTCGGTGACCAAGGAGGAGAGAAGCGTCTGGGATGATAGCAGAAAGAGGTCGGTCCTGGGAAATGAAAGTTTCCTAGAGGACTCCTGCGTCCTGGGAACCATTAGCCCATGCCAGAGAGGACGTGAGAGGTCACGGCGTAAGCCTTCGATTGCAGTCTCAGACATGTTCTTGGTTTAAATAACCTGCTGAATGCCCTGTGCACCTGGGCAAGGCACCTGCCCCCCTGGGTCCCAGTGCCTCCTCTTTAAAATGAGCAGATGGCCTATTCAACTCTCCTGACCTCTGAGCTTTAGGTGCAGCCCCAGTGCTCAGGGGAGGGGGCGGGCGGGCCAGCATGGTTGCTGAGAATGAAGCTGGCTCTTTCAAGTCCCCGCTTTTAAGTTGGGTTTTCCTGCCCCTGCTCTGCCTGCGTTTCTCCAACTAGATCGCGTTCCCCATTCTGCAGTTCCCCTTTCTGCCACAGAGCCAAGGATCCCTGAAGTCTCTGCCCCCACAAGAAAGGCAAAATCACGGTCAACCTGAATCAAACAAGGTTAGAAAAGAATTTGGCCATATTCACCTTCATCCCCATGTCGTGCTCACTCTCTCACATACACACACACATTCCAAAATATGGTCCCAAGGGAAGATGGGACAGGATGGGGTTGTCCACTCTGTTTCCATGACACCCATCCCTCAGCACAGGGGCCTGAGCCCTTCTAGAAGGACAGGTACTGCAGCTGAGTCCAGTCCACAGGTGATACCTGCACCCACCCTGGCTGGCCACCCAGTCTGTGGGAGCCCCCCGGTCCCAACCCTGCTTCTCTTGGCTGACACTCACCAGGCCCACAGTAAGGATGCTGGAGAGGCTGCCACCGGAATGCTGAGCCGAGCAGGGGCCAGGGCTCCCTTTATACTGTTCCAGGCTTGCTACCTGCCCTGGTTGAAGGAGATGGACTGGTTTCACCACTGAAGTTGATCAACTTCCTCCAGCCCCTCCCTGACTCATCACAGGAACCTACTAAAAACCCCTCGAGGCCCGTTTTTCACAGAGAGACATAGTCAGTCCTCTGGCCAGAGGTGTCTGAGGGCTCAGGCACTCCCGCCTGACTCATGACCTGGGCGCTGGGCGGTGAGGGAGGCAGCTCGGAACCGAGTTCCCTTTTCCTGTTGTTCTGTGACCTCAGCCAAGAAATCGCTGACTGTCAATTACTCCACCTGTAAAATGGGTTTATCCCCATTGTTAGGCTGAGAGATTCGTTTCCAAGGGCAAGAAATGGAAAGTTAGTGTCTCTTTGGAATGCCCAGAGAGGGCATGTGATATAAACGTAGGAGGAATCCCTTCACATGAAGAGACTGGGGTTACTGGGGGTTCTCTTGGCCCTTAGCCCACAACCATCTACTCTCAAGACCTATCTGTAACTCTGTCTATGAGGAAATAAACTGTCTTTGGGGGGAGAGTACTTCAGGCCCAACAGGGACAAGCAGAAGGCTTGGAGGGGTCTCCTGCTATGTGCCATGGGCTGCCCAGGCACCATGTTCAAGGCTACAGTTCAGAAATCCCCAAGAATAAAAACTCATAGACACTCCAAAGGATGGGCCACTCTAGGCAAGAGAACAGGCATGAAAGATACAATATATAAAATAAGGATTGCTTTTTATGTATTAAAACAAACACTTCCTATAATTTCTTTTGGAAATGCATGAAGGTATGAAGATAAAACCAAGTCACCCATTGCTTTCTCCAAACCATTCCCTAAAAAGAGCTTAAATAATCTTTCAGAGTGGTTATTGCAGCCTGCCCCTCCCTGGTATTGGCAGTGACTCGGCACATCTGGAATGCAATGCAAACTCACTGCCAGGGTGTCAGAGACCCCAGCTGAGGGTCCTCAGCTCCGAGGAGGAGCCCAGCGCTCCCCACCTCGGGGCTTGGTGCTCCCAGGGCTCCTGGCTCCTTGTGCCTCAGCATCAGCATGATGTTGGAGCTGCCAGAGAGACTTCCCTGACAACCCCAGCTACAGGGGTACCTTCTGGTTCACTTCATGTCCCTAATAACAACTGAGGGCCCTTTATTTGCATTTGGTCACTTGCTTATTTCCTGTCGCTCCCACTGGAAAATAAGGTTTTCCTGGAGTGTATTCCTCCATGTCCCTGGAACCCATCATAAGCACCACACAGACTCAGTGAAGGAATGAATGAATGAAGAGAATCCCACCACTGGAGAGAACTGCTATTGAAGAATTCAGTGTGATCTGTGTGTGTGTGTGTGTGTGTGTGTGTCATGTGTGCGTAAAAACAATTGTGATATGCTTTTTAATAATTGGTTTATAGTTTATTTTATGGACATTATTTATTTACACTCTCTTCTTTACAACTTAATAAAGAAAGAACAGAACAATATGAAGACAAATACTCATTTTGGAGGCTAATTTTGAGAAGTGTCCTGGTTCCACATGGATTTCCCACAAGGTACTTTTCTTCCAGCCTCAGCTGATCAATTTGCAGTGTTCCCTTGGCCATGCTCCTGGGGCTCAGTCTGGAAAGACAGATGGAGGGACTCCTGCCTCTGAAAGACTACCCTCTCCTCATCCCCCTTCTGTTCCCTGAGCCCACCAGGGACCTCTCTCTGCCTCCTCCCCAGCACTGTGTCATCTTCTGGGGTAAGGGAAGCCCTCCCCTCCACCCCACCCGTGGAGAACTAACCAAGCACCCTCACATGGGCACCCATGGGTTTGAGCTCTGCTGCTGACCTCACATGGCAGGAATCCGCCCCTCCCCAGGGCAGCAGACCCTGCTCCCTCCCGGAAGTCACACCGGTCCTATGGGTTTCTCGGGGCCCTATCTGCCGGATCTGCCTCCCGCCCTCTGATTCACAGCATAATGAGAGCTTTGGGGGGAGACAGCGTGTTGGGCCTTCAACTACAGGGTGAAGTTAGGGTGTGGGAAGGAGGAAGGAACAGGAAATTGGTGTGTGTGTGTGTGTGTGTGTGTGTGTGCAGGGTAGGGGTTAGAGGAGCATTCTAAGGGCTCAGAGGCTTCATACTCTGCTCTCAGATTGCCCCATTTTGGGGCCAGACATGCATGTACAACATATCGGAGAGATTCCTCAGTGCCTGTGATGGGCCTCGTAGGGCCCACAGGAGGTGTGAGGGTAACTGTCCAGCCCCCACCTAGCATAATGCAGATAAGCTCGAATCCCATGACACCTACAGAGACCTTGACCCAGCCCTTCCCCAGCCCAAAGAGGTCCTGGCTGTTTCCCTTGCAGAGGCAAAAACTGGCAGATTTCTTTCTCTCAGAGTGAGACAACCTATTTGAACAGTTGCTTAGCTGTTGGGAGCAGAGGGGACTGATTGCAGCATTCACTGCGGGGCGGGGCGGGGGGGACAGCTTTTAATCGGCAGTATGGGGTGATGGAGGGTGGTCCTGAGAATGTGACTTGGGCCAGGAGGTCTAGTGTTTCCTCCCGCCTTGGGCAGCCATGACTAGGCTGTTTCTGGACAAGGCAGTGGCCCCACACTCAGGCTGCTAACCTCCGATCCCTCCTCTGCCCACGGCACTGTCGGCTGCACCATCTCTCAATCTACGCCTGCACTAGTCACCTCCCCACATGCCCATTTCCTCGCCGTCCTCCAAGGCCTCCTGAACTTATGCACCTTTTGTGCCCATCTGCTCCTCAGGAGGGAGCAAGGCAAGGAAGGGAGATGGGACCCCGAAAGGGCCAAGAGGCTGGTTCGTCCGGTGTGGACTTCGGTGCTGGTCTGCCGATGTGCCCATTTGGCCTGCTTACATCTTCCTCCGGCTCCCCCCTTGGCCTGCGGCAGGTCCCACCGCAGTCCCTGTGCTCTGGCTCTGCTCGCTGGGGAGGGCCCGTCCCAGCCCTGCTCTTGGTGGGGTGAGAGGAGCAAGGGCATGAGCAGCTTCTGGTGGTGGGAAAAGGAGGTGCTCAGTGTCCTCTCCTCCAGCTGGCAGAATGTCCTCCTCGCTGGGCTCCCAGTTTGGGAAATGACATTCTTTGTAGTTCATTTTCTGACCAGAAGGCAGCAGCATGTCTGAGCTGGGGGGCCTCAGGGAACGGAGGGGGAAGGCCTTGCCCAGTGTCTGGTGCATCAGAGCTTCTGAACACAGCCAAGTGCCTTCCACTGAGTTAGTCCCCTCTAGTGACAAGTGGGCACTGAAGTCTGGAGAGAGGACAGTGAGTCTGTGATAGAGTTGGGCTGGAACCCATGTGCCCTGAATGTCATCCAGGGGACTCTTCCTCATTAGCCTGCCTTCTCAGGTGCTGGAGCACCTGTTGGCTGTGTGACAGGTTGCACTGGGAGATCTCAGGCATCTTCCAACTCAACATTTACTGACTGTCCCCAGGATGGTCAACTCTGAGTTTTCTGGAGGAAGGGCCAGTTTTCCTTGGCTCAGATTCAACCAAGTGCCCTTGGGATGACTCTCATTGGTGTAGGGAACAGGGAGCTCTCCTTCCAGTCTGGTGCTGGTGTGGAAGTTTATTTTCACCTGATCCCATCTGGAACAGTGATCCCGTTCAGGATCGGCACTGGCTTTGGAGTCAGACAGGCCTGGGTTTGAATCCCACTGCATCTCTTGAAATCTGGACAATTCACTTGACCTTGAGGACCCTCAGTTTTGTTGTCTATAAAATGGGAATAAGAATACCTCTTTTGATTTCTGTAGGATTTGGTGAGCTAATATACATGGTTAGCACATAGATTGTGCTCAGAAACTGATCGTTTTACTGCTGGGAGTCATGGCCAGTATTTGCTGATGGAATGCCATGTGTTACCTGCCTAAATATCAAATTTTAAAGATGCAAGTAGTCAAAGGTCATCAGCTTCAACGTTCTCATTTTGCTAATGAAACCCCGAAGCCCCGAAGTCGCACAGTGCCTGGAAGAGAGTGAGGAAAGAAGCCAGACTCCTGACCTCCCATCAGCTCCTCCGTCCAGTCTGCCTGCTGCATGCGACGCCTCAGGGGCTCAGGCAACACCGTAGCTCAGCCGCGGACCGGTCCTCTGTGCTCAGGAGGCCTCGCATGCACTGACTGTGCTCCCGAGTGGCAGGCTCGCTGAGGAGTCCCAGTGGGTTTGCCTTCCTATGGCATGATGTGCATGGAGGGGCTGAAGGCAGCAGGTTGGGCCCATCTTTGATGTGGACAAAGGGGTCCCGGTGGTAGAGTAGAGCACAGCCAGCCAGGTGGAGCCAGACAGTCTGTGAGGCTCTGGCAGCTCCCGGCGTGCTGGCGGTTGGTGAAGGGCGCGGGGGTAGGACTCCACAAGGTGGTGCAGAAGGAGGAAGGCAGGGGGAGGGCCCACGGGGTAGGAGGCACACAGAAAGAGTGGCAGGGCCACAGGTGAAAGGGGCAGGGGAGGGACATGGCAGAAGAGAGAGAAGAGGCAGGTGCCACCTCCCCCAGAAGTGTCTTCTGTCGATGGTCAGACAAGTCAAAGGAGACAAGGATGCCCATGGGACTTGGCTGGCCTCCTGGTTCGCACTCCCACCCTTCTCCCTCCCTGCTAATTGGGACTGATGGGGTCACGTGACCCTACATCACTGCCTCCTGAGATGAGAAATTGCTCTTAAAATTATTCCTGGAAGTGGTTGGAGAGAACATGCAGATGCATGTGGAGTCATGTGCACACACGTGTGTGTATATGTGTGTGCGTATGTTTGAGTGCGTGCGTGTGTGTACGTGTGAGTGCATATGTGTATGTGTTAGTGTGTATATGTGAGAGTGTGTGTATCTGTGTGTGAGTGTGTGTGTTTGCATGTGTGTGAGGAATAACTGGGCACATATCTGGTCCTGGAGAAGACATTTTCGCCAAGAGGAGTTAGTTGCTCAAATTTCCCTGCCTCCCTTGGGTC